AAACAAATGAGAGGACTGGTTGGGAGTATTAAGAGGATTAGCAAGAAGGCACAAGCAAAGGAGGACTGGGGAGAGGGGCCGATAAGGAAATGTATCGTGGTATACATCTATGAGAATGCCATTATGAAACCCATCATTTAAAAATAATTCTAAAAAGATATTGTAGACATGGGCTGGAGAGATGGCTCAGTGGTTAGGAGCACTGGCTGTTCTTGCAGAGGACCTGGATAATGGAATTATGTGTGAACTAAAACAAATGAGAGGACTGGTTGGGAGTATTAAGAGGATTAGCAAGAAGGCACAAGCAAAGGAGGACTGGGGAGAGGGGCCGATAAGGAAATGTATCGTGGTATACATCTATGAGAATGCCATTATGAAACCCATCATTTAAAAATAATTCTAAAAAGATATTGTAGACATGGGCTGGAGAGATGGCTCAGTGGTTAGGAGCACTGGCTGTTCTTGCAGAGGACCTGCTTTCGATTCCCAGCACCCACATGGCGGCTGACAGCCATCTGTAACTCCATTCCAGGTGAATCTGACTCCCTCTTCTGACCTCTGCAGCCACTGCATAACACCGGTGCACTGACATACATGCAGGCAGCACACTCATACACATACAAAGGAAAGATTTTGTAGACCTTAGGCAGAATAGAACCCTCAACAAACAGGTAAATTAGAACACAATGTCATATATGTTGTTGTTTGTAACATGTCAGAAGGGGAAAGAGTTCAGTTTCTCCCTCAAGAAGGTTAAACACACAGGTACAACAGGGGCTTGGCTTGAGTTTTTTCTTTCGCAGGCATTTTGGCAAGTGCCTGAAAAGTGAATGGATAAATTGTTGGACAGGGGATTCGACTTCAGTGCAGTGTAGCTGGTGTTTTTGTTGGAACATTCCATCTCTAATCCCGGGTTCTTCAGGGTAGTGAGTTATCTGACAGCGGAGGTGTGCTCCAACTGAGGTGTGCAGGCAGCCACACTTGACAAGAATTTTGTAAAGGTAAATGAGGCCTCAAAAGGGACCGAAAAAAGTGTAAAACCGCTTCCAAACACAAGAGGCAGAATTCAAGGAAACGGGCCCAGCGGTGCTGAGTATCCAAATCTCAGAACTGGGAAGTTTAGAGGCTTTAACTTACTGTAAAAATCCACACCCCAGTTACCCCCTTCTGCATCACGTTGAGCCAGCTCCTGGGCCTGGCCTTGGGCCTCCACCGGCTTCCGCCTACTGCCTCCCTCCCAATCATGGACCCCCACAAAGTGAATGAGCTTTGAGCATTTGGAAAGATATGTAGGGAGGATCCCAGCGTCTTGCACACTGACGAAATGCATTTCCGGAGGGAGTGGGTGGAGCGTATTGGGGGGGGGGGTAAAGTACCACCTGCCACTCACAAAAATAATTAAACAAAAACTAATTAAACAAGAAGAAACATAATAAGAGAGAGGAAAACATAAAGACAGGCAAACTTCAGTTGAGGAAAGTGATATGGAAATTGACAACGAAGGTATAATTGAATCACAATGCCCCTCAAGAAATCGGAGATGACGGAGGAGATGACGGAGGAGATGACGGATCAAGGAAATGAAAAGCAAGAGGCCTCCATTGAAGCCCTAAACCATGGTGTGTTCAGAAAGCCATAGACTTATTCACAGACTTCATCAAGCTAAATCCTGGCTTGGCCGTTCTGTACACCAAGAGAGCCACCATCTTCCTCAAATTACGGATGGCGATGCTGCTATTCGAGATTGTGACAGCGTCATCAAATAAACCTTGGTTCAACTCAGTCTCACAAGTGGGGAGGGAAAGCAAACAGACTTGTGGACCATTTGGAAGAAGCAGCCCATGATCTTGCCATTGACTGTTAACTGGATTATGATGAGGATGCTGGTGCAACACTGAATATTCAACCCAGGCCTCCTAAAATTGCTGAATATCAGAGAAAGTATGAGCAAAAACAGGAGGAGTGAGAGATAAAATAGAAAGGGTCCAGACGCTAAAGAAGAGCGTGAGGGAGTCCAGAGGGAGAAGAGGCCAGACAATCAGAGCTCAGAGGGAGAAGAGGCCAGAGGATCAGAGCCCAGAGGGAGAAGAGGCCTGACAATCAGAGCCCAGAGGGGGAAGGGGCTTGACAATCAGAGCCTGGAGGGAGAAGAGGCCAGACAATCAGAGCTCAGAGGGAGAAGAGGCCAGAGGATCAGAGCCCAGAGGGAGAAGAGGCCAGAGGATTTGTAGCTGTTTGCCTCTTTCCCAGGTGGTTGTCCTGGGGGAATGCCTGGTAATTTTCCTGGAGGAGTACTTGGAATGGAAGGGGGCATGCTAGGAATGGCAGGAATACCTGGACTCAGTGACATTCTCAGTGATCCAGAGGTTCTTGCAGCCATGCCAGATCCAGAGTTATGGTGGGCTTCCAGGATATGGTGCAAAACCTGGGTAATATGTCAAAATATCAGAGCAACCTGAAGGTTATGAATCTCATCAGTAGGTTGTCAGCCAAATTTGGAGGTCAAGGACAATGTCCACTGGAATGAAACGCAGCCTAGATCACTACTGGATGTAGCAATAATACAAACCCAGCACCTCTGACCTTCTCATCAGGAGAGTTGGGGTGCTTTGAAGATAATCTTTACCCTTCTGTACCAAACACAACTGAAGCATTTTGCAATGGTTTGCCATTAGAGTATTCCTTCAGACAATGTTTTCCTTGAAAACTTTCAACACTTTTTCAACTTTAAAAGCAGAAGTGTGTTATTAATTTTTATGTTTCCTTTGCTAATCCTTTTGGGGTTTTCCTTTGAATTACTGGGCAGGGAAGATGAGAATGGATGACTTACTGCTCTCAAGTGAAATAAATTAGTGGGAAAAAACTCATTTAAGTTTATTCAGCTTGAGTTGGATGTATAGTTACTAAAGCTTTTTGATTTGTCTTTTCAAAATGTTTTATTTCAAAATGATCTATTTCATTAAAGTTATTGGGACCACTGGTATTTCAGTCTGGCTTGGATAGAGACTGGCTGTGCCTGGCAGACCAGTGGCAGTCTTACTGAATCTCTCTGGACAGAAGCCCTTGAGCAGATTATGGTTAAACCTCACACTGTGATGAAGAGTGATTTTTTTTTAATATTGCAGTGGAGTTGCATTACCTAGCTCTGTTATTGTTCAGTATTTCAAATGAATGTTTCATATCATTTCCACATAGAGGAAATAAGGGAGTATTTTTCTTATATTTCTGTCAAAAATTATCTTTCCTATTAGCAAATAACCCTATTTGCTTTCAGCTTGTCATATTCCTGCCCTTTAATCTTCTTGAGTTCAAAGAGTCTCATTTTCCTCCAATATCATCACTGCTGTCATCATTCATAGCATAATTGTGGACACATTTATTGATAGGTTTAATTTAACATGTAGCCCATACGATATCTGTAGGGTAATACCCATAACAGCTGTGGCCTCTTACTTGGCCATGGGGTTGCTTATTTAAATGTTCAACTTTCACTCTCATGAACTCATGTCATATCAGAAGACTGGAAGGAGGTATTGGATTCCCTTTGGTAGTAGGTATACTTAAGAAATTGTAAAAAAGGAAAAATTTCAATTAGAGTTTATCTTGTATACATCTTTATATTTTGAAGATTTAAATTATTTGATATTAACTGTGTGATCTAATATGGATTATAAAATAGCTGAGAGCTGTGTTATTCATTTTTGGAGTTGCTGATAATATGTTGTCCTTCTCTGTGGGGTCTCTCCCTTCCCTCATGCGTTCGTTGTTGGCCACCGGTCCACGAGGACAAAGGAAGCAGAAGTGACGAATGGGGTCAGGGACAGCCAGTGAGCACTGACAGAAGAAAGCCCTTCCGGGGGGGCAGGTTCAGTGATACAAACAGCTCCAGACACAGTGAAACAGCTCTGTTTATTCAGTGGGGGTTAGGGAAAATACAGAGTGGAGGCAGCAGCCAATGCTTCAGCTGATAGGTGCTCATAGTATGCTTTATTTACATGTGGCAGGAGATCCTATCATCCGACTATGGGGCAATGCCTAATTATCATATAAAAAAACCTGGGGGTAGTTTTTACTCCAGGTAACTATGCCAAAGGTCATGTTCCAAACAAGGTCAGACATCCATGCTTGGTGGCACTTTCCAGGTAAGTCAGGCAGAGAGCTGGAGGCCCCCTGCTGAGAAGGGGAGTCCTTCCATATAGCTCTGAGCCCCTTAGAGCTATCCGGACATGGAGGACTACAAACAACCCTAGCAGCAGGGTCCCCCAACACTTCTCAGCTCTTAAATGCTGCAACCACACCTCCAATTCTTATTCTTTCCTTCCTTCCCCTGCAAGGATGAAGAAAATGATAAAATCCGTGGAGTACATACCTAAATCTTTTAAAAACATTTATCATGTATACTTGGATTTGAACTTGCCAAATGGTGTTTGTTCATGTGTGTTCTTAAAGTTTCCAGGATGTGCTGTGCTTTACTTAAGAAGATCAGTTTCTTTTGGACTCTGATTATATGTGACCTAATTATATTCTAACGTTGCAAATATTACCATAAATGGGTAAAGTTGCTCTTCTGAAAATATGCCCTGTGCTTTTAGATTTCTAAGTTCCACAAACAGTAAAAAAAATAGTCTTCATTTTCAGAGACTCAGTATCGTTTCTTTAAAAAAAAAAATCCACAGCTCTTCCTGGGGATGCCAGAACAAAGCTTTCTCTGCCTAAAGGTGCTTACCTGCTAGTCTCTGCCTTTGGGAAGCTCACAGGGCACTGATGCCAGAGCACAACAGGGAGACATCTGTTATATAAGAAGTTGTGTTAGTTTCTGGACCTCTGTAATCTGAGAGTTGGGCAGTGCCTGTTCAAATAAGAGAGAGTAAGCTCTAGGTGGGTGTGGCTTAAAGGACCCAATAGACATCAGAAAGCTCTTGGTAAGGATTTTTCATTGTGTTGGCTTATGTAAATGGCTCTGTGGGCAGGGCTTCAAGGGTGGGCCTACAGCACTGGAGCAGGATAAATCCATGCCCTTTAAGTGGCAGACACTGCACTGGACCCTAGAGCAACTGTCCTTCTACAATGTGGCTCTGTGCTTTGGCACTGATTTCTTTTTCTGCCTCTGTGACTTTGGGTGAGTCCTTCTGGGATATTAATATTTGGATGCACATTTGGAATTCTTTGTCCTGTTCAAAGGTAAGTTGCAAACCAGATTCAGTTTCTAGAGATGTTTGCAGTTGCAAAGCAGACCCAGTTTCTAGAGGTGACTTGGACAGAATGCAGGGGTGATTCTTAGCTTAGGTCTCTGGACCTGTGTATTCTTGAGGAAGGAAATTAATTTTGCAGGACCAGCACCTTCCTCTTGGGCTGCATGAGGGAGAAATGGGTGTATGTGTCCAGAATACTTAGGACGGTAGTTGGTCTCGAGGAGATACAGCGAAGGAGCTGATTCAAAGTAGAATATATTAGCAGAAAATTTGACATGTAAGATCATACAAAGGGCTGTGGCTATTTGTTACTCAGAGTTCCCAAGGAAAGGGAGTCCAACAGTGGGGTGGAGCAGAAAGGGAGGAAACATTTGGGGTCAGTCAGGAGCTGAGGTTCTACCAAGGAAAGATGGTGGAGAGTTCCTTTGTCATGGTTTACCCTAGAGAGAGGAGGAAAAGGAAAGTAATGTAGGCTTGGCTACTTGGGGTTATTTCAGGGGCTTTGGGGTAAACTGGGCTGTGCCCAGTTTTCTAGTGCCTGACTGTGTGCAATCAAGACAGGTTAGTAGTGGCCTAGGTTATGAGACTCAGATAAGCAAGTAGTTGTGGTGTGGATTCTGGAGTGTTTGGACCCTGGAAGTGACAGCACCCCCTGAATCAACAGAGCCTCAAGGGTCAAATCTGCAGTTACAGAAAGCAGGTCTAGGGTAAGTACAGGGGTATAGCTTTGGCACGCATCTGTACCACTGTATGGAAGGAGATAGAGGCTCCCAGGAGAATGTACTCACCCAAGGCCAGCTGTAAATCATGTAGCCGTGCCCAGGTATATTTCTAGCTCCAGAATATATAGCAGTGCTTCACCATTAGGTACATGGCTGCATTGCCACTTTTAGCTTTTATCTCCTCTCTGGCTGTGTGTCACTATGAGAATCCTGGAAGACAGTATAAGGTTGCATAAGAAAGGGCTCTAATTTCTGTGCTGCTGGCTACCCTGGCAATGGCTACCTCATTTCCATCTTTAGGGAGTTCTTTCAGGCTGGTGGTATTACCTGCTTCCACATCTATAATATGGCCTTGAAAATCCCAACCTAGTAAGGCTGTTTCTGAGGAATAGTATTAAAAATTAGAATGTACATCTTTCATACAGTAGGTGGTCAATATGTGCCCATTCTCTATTACATAATTGGCAGCTGCATCCCTGTTTATACCTGTCATCCCATATATCCACTTTTCTAGCCAGAGTAATCTAACATCCTTCCAGTTCGGCTGGGTAGAAAATCATCATCATCATCATGAAGTTAACATTAGCCATGCCCAATACTTTCTGCTCAGACATTACCCTCTTCCTCAGGACTCAAGCCAGCACCCTTCCCTTCTCCCTTCTGTGGTGCTGTGCCATTCCTTCTACCACCATTCTGTCCTTACTCATAACATCAACTATCCCCATGTTTTAGCTTCAGATCTCTCCCCTCCTTCACGCCCCCCATGGTACATACATTCATGGTCTGTACCCTCCCTTTTAGGTGGTTAGTTCTACTTGCCCATCACTGACCTCCTTCTAGTATAGAAATGCCTGTGCCTGGTGGTGTCTTCCTACCAAGAAATCTCCCAAGTGCACCTGGCTCCTAGGAAAATAGCAACACATATCTGTTCTTCAGTCTTGTTCTTCCGTGGCCCCCATATCTAGTCAGGGGTCATGTCTGCCTTTAATTTCTTCATGTACATCTCCATAGCTGCATAACTGTTCCCCCTAATTATAAAAGAATCTATTCTAGTATAGATCCTTTGAATTCACACACACACAATAAAACAAAGCTACCACCATCCATAGACATTTTGGTATGCATGCTTTTCTTGGAAGAGATCTCAGTGGCCTGGTAATCTCAAAGCAAGGGAAAGAAAGCACAGAATCTGCTCTTGATAAAGACATGGACATGGTTTTGTTACTTGGCCTTCCATAGAGTTTTCAGTGTCATTGGTTAGTCTTAATATGCAGATGCTCCACAAATTATGGTGATAACTTTGCTAGTAAACCATGATCCTGAAGGCAAAATATAATAAATCAAAACATCCTAAATTGGAAACCCACAGCAGGTTGAATGAGACCAAGTGACAAGTTACAGGGAGCATAAAGACGATTGGTACATAGAGGCCTGATGCCTAGCCTCTGTCCCCCTGGATGATCCTGCTCAGAGCCAAGAGAATATTATAGACCTTTTTTGTGGTCTTGATTCCAGAATTGTTTTTCCTACTTGTTGTCCATTAAATAAATCCTAATCCCTTGGCCAGAAATTCAGTGTCTTTCCTGACACGCACCTGCTTATCGAAAAATTGTTGTCCAGTCCCCTTGGCCTGCAGCTGGCAGTATCCATATTCCATTCACCCTTCCCAGAAAGGCTCTGTGTTACCCTGTGTCTAGGCCTCTGCACTTATGCTCATTCTTATTTAATTACCCTCACCTTTTACCCTCTCTTAGTCACTCCTCCCTCTGCTACAACTTTGAGGTCCTCCATGAAGGCATCAGTCAGAAGACCTTACTCTTTCCAACTACTCTAGCTCATTCCTGTCCATCCCCAAGATACGTCATTTTTTTAACCAAAATTAGATCAAGTAATTACATGGTCTTTTCCCTAAAAGGTCAGCCTGCAAAGCTAGGGTCCAGCTCTGTTCACCTTCTCATACAGATGCACCTCAGTACTAAGAGCTTTATAGACAGATGTTTGCATGGGTTTCTAAGAGGAAAATGAAAACTCTCATTCATTTTCAATAGTTTCTTTCAACAACTTTGGACGGTTGCTTTTGTAGCTCCAATTCCCATTTACTCCTTCCATCATTCCTTTGAGTCAGGAAGAACAAAATTTTACTCACCCTCCTTTTCCATGAGAAGAAACCGAGGCCTAGAGGATTGAGGTAACTTATTCAAAGTCACATGCCTAGAAAGTGGGAAAACTCACTAGGAATTCAAGTCTAACCTTTCCCCTCTGATGTGTCCTCCCGTTCTCTTGTTCAGCAGGGCACCCGTCCTCACCACCTGTGGTGAACACTGTGCATGGCAAAGTCCTGGGGAAGTATGTCAGCTTAGAAGGATTCACACAGCCTGTGGCCGTTTTTCTGGGCGTCCCCTTTGCCAAGCCTCCTCTTGGATCTCTGAGGTTTGCTCCACCACAGCCTGCAGAGCCATGGAGTTTCGTGAAGGATGCCACTTCCTACCCTCCTATGTAAGACACTGATGTCTTATTTGGGGACATTGTACTTGGAAATATACCATTGTCTTCCTGGCTAGCTAACTGTCCTTGGTTCACTTTTCTAATATTTTTGTCTCATATTTTCATTTATGAAGTAGAGATAATGATGGATGTTTGGGGCTAATGTAAGTTTTAAATGACTTCATGCACAAGCAGTAAGTATTTGTACTCTGGAAGGATCAGTCACTGCTATCAACTCTACTTTGCATTGGGCCCCTTATCAGGGCAGCCAACTGTGATTTTGGGGATAGGAGGATGGTAGAACCTTGGCAGGCAAGGGCAGCAAGGCTCTTAGGGACAGGACTTACCTTACCTGGACCTGTTCAATAGGGGCTCAGTATAGGAAAGAAATTCACCCATTACCCAGCATGTTCTGGTTAAAACATAACTAAGATGTAACTTTCCTAAGCTTACTGATAAAATACAAGTCCTGACCTGTACAAGGTACATGTTTTTCATTGGCGGCAGTTCCCCTGGTTGATGGAAGTCTCCCAAGGACTAGCGTGTCCATCTGATGGAGAAGAATGGTCACAATGCAGCATACTGTACAAAGCCCAGCAAAGGGCAGGGCCCTGTCCAGACAGTGCAGAAAATGTCATGGAAGGCAGGCCAACATATGAGGACCTCTTCTGTACCCAGAACATCCCAAAGGCTCTAGGAAGGGAAGGGAAGCAGTGCCAAGTCATTCTCCCTCTGAGGAGTTGGAAGGCTCTAGAGAATCCCCAGGTTCCCTCCAAGAACCACAGAGACCCTCTCATGTGTTAATAGCTCCACCATTTGCAGGCTTAAACCTTCCAGGGGAAAGCTGAGTCTTAGCAACATGTCCAGCTTAGTCCTGTTGGAACCTCAGCTGTTCCGTCTCACTTTGCAGGTGTTCCCAAGACCCAGAGACAGCACAGAGACTCTCAAAGCTCTTTACTAACAGAAAAGAGACTGTTCCTCTCAAGTTTTCTGAAGACTGTCTCTACCTAAATATTTATACTCCTGCTGACTTGAAGAAGAACAGTCGGTTGCCGGTAAGCAGAGGGAACACTGGTCCAGACTCTTGAGTTCATTCTGTGCATCTGGGAGGGAATAAAGACAGCTGGGGAAGGAAGACACAGTCAGGGATAGACTGGAGGTCTTGTGTCTGGGGTGTACTTTTCCAACTTCCCTCACACTAAGGACAATACCGACTGGTCATAATTACTAGGGTAAGAATCTGACCTACAGACATATTTTTCTACTCTCAAGTACTTATTATCTTAGAGAAATGAGAACTGATATTTATATAAAATGCTGTAGAAAAATTTATAGCTGTGTTATTTGTAATTGTCAAAACCTGAACACACCCCCAATGCTTTTTAGTGGCCAAATGCATAAACTGTGAGACATCCAATTAATAAAATCCTGCTTAACAATAAAAAGGTTGAGCTACAGATGCTATGAATGTATTGTACTCAGTAGAAAGAAGCCAAATTCAGAAGATTACACTCTATGATTGAAATTAAACGACATCTGGACAAGGCAAAACTCTAAGGACAAAGCTTACATCACTAGTTGCCAGGACTATGATCTGGGAAGGGCCTGACCACAAAGAGGTAGTTCTTGGGGTAATGAAATGATTCAGTATTGTTTGTCCCCTTCCCACCCTTTGGGGGACTGGCCCTCAGTCTCCTGGCTCTGATGTTGGTTAATAAAACCAACCTGACACAGTTCAATTTGAATTTGGCATAGTTTATATGACATTTGGGAGAGGGTCACTTATGAAGAAAAGGCTTCTCATGACCCATGCACCACTGAAGCCCATGTGTAGTCTCCATCAGCTTTCGAATGCTGCACCCATGTGCCATCTCACCCCATGTTCTGAGCACCTCATCTTGCCCTGTGGAGCCTGTGAGAAGGGCAGGGTGTCCATGCATTTCCCCCGGCTGTTCTCCCCCCAACTCCCAATGTTCATCACTCCCCAGCTGCGTGCCTCGCTCCTGGAGTTGCAATATGGCCGCAGCTCTGCCCTTTTTCCCAGGGTACCCTGCTTCACCATGCTTTTTGGAGGAATGAGTATTTTTGGGCTATATGTGTCCTGACTGAGAGCATAATTTTTAATAAACATAAGTTGAGAAGAAACAGAAAATCAAACCTCCATGTGATTCTTTACATAAGGAAAAACTGGGGCTCTGGTAGGGAAATCTAGGCAGTGAGTAGGCAGGACAGTATGTGTCTTTTAAAAATAGCTTTTTAAAAATTGAATTTTTGTGATATTCATACAATATAGCTTGATCATATTTAGATCTCCCCGCTATCTGCACCCCATCTTCCCTCTACACAACTTTATGTACTATTTGTGAGTCAAATGTGGGCCCCCAAATGCCCTTCAGAGTGGGTCTTTTGATCTTTAAACTTGTTTTCTTTGATATGGACTAGGAAAAGCAGCTACAATATCACCTTTCTATCTACAGTACCTTGATAACATTCATTGGCCTGTGACAAAGGTGTGAGGGGAGGAGGCTGGGCCAATCTCAGAAGCACTTTCTTTTGCCTTTTGTCACTAGTCCTGGATTTTATTGTAGGTCACTTCGATCCGTAATTGCTTTTGGCACAGGCTGTTGATTAAGTGAGACAGCCTTTCCCATATAAATGAAGAGTCAGTGATGGGGCAGGGTGCCATTTGTAGGCTAGGAATTGGGAAGGGGCTGCAGGGAAAGAGCCAATCCTGAGGTATAACAGCTCAGATGTTAGCAGGCTGCCAGTGTGCCAGGAGCACCATTGTAGCATGGAGCCCAGGAGTAGGGGAAGAACATTTAAACTTGGAACCAGTACTGGGCCCTATACATGCTTCTTAGCATACAAGGAGGAGGGGGGCAAAGGTTCATTCACCTGATCTCTGACTTCTTTATCCATCTGTTATGCAATTAGTGCACCTGCCCCATATACACAGTCAGACTTGGAGTCTGGTAAAAGAGGAATGAAAGTTCTTAAAGAACTTTGCCATGTGGTTTGCACAGGCATATCACAACCTCCTCAGCATGTCACTGTCCAATAGCCCTTGCACTCAGTTTTCACTCTAGATGACTTCAAACTAAGTGACCACTGGAGATGACAGGAGACCTGTGTGTGGATGAGACAGGGTCTCTGGCTGCCTAGAGGCAGGAAGTCCTTCATTTTTGGACACAAGTCACAGAGCCACAGGTCTGTGTTTAAATTCTGGATCTACCTTTGACTCTTGTTCGACATCTGACTCACTGTGCTATGGCCACAGGCTGCAGGGATTGGGAGTTTAACACAAGGTTTTGGGATCAGATGGTCTGGTCAGTCCCTGCCCCTACCTCTCATTAGCTGTACTAGTAAGGTTTTTGTTACTGTGATAAAACACTGACCACAAAAACTTGGAGAGGAAAGGGTTTATTTCACCTTGTAGCTTACAGTCCATCATGGAGAGGAGCCAGGCAGCAACTCAGGGAAGGAACCTGCAGATAGGAGCTGAAGCACTGACCATGGAGGAACTGCTTGTTCAAGGGCTTGCTCCTCTGACCAGTGTTCAACTGTTTTCTTACAAAACCCAGGGCCACCTGCCCAGAAGTGGCACTACCCACACTGTGCTGGGCCCTCCCATGTCACTCAGCAACCAAGATAATGCCTCACCCAGTAGATGAACACACTCTGAAGGGTATTTGGGAACAGAAATTTAACTCTATACACCTTAATAATAATAATAATAATACAATTATATTAATGTGCATGAAATTGAGTAGGAGGTAGTAAGGCGGTAGATAGGGGAGGGGAATCTAAATATAATCAAAACGTATTTTATGAAATTCACAAACTATCGCTTTAAAAAGTGATTTAGAGTATACTTTTTAAAAAAGAAAATGCCTCACAGACATGCCTAAAGGTCAATCTGATAGAGGAAATTCCCCAGCTGAGATCCCTGCTTTCCAGGCGTGCCCAGTTGACAATTGAAACTGTCTAGTTGAAACCTGAAGCTATCTAGCAAAGTAGCCCTGGCTGGCCTGGAACTCATTATGTAGACCAGGGTGCCCTTGAACTCCCGAGGCTCTATCTGCCTCTTCATCTCAAGAGCTGGGATTAAAGGCGTCCACCGCCATGCCTCACTACGGCAGTGGCCTTAGTTTCTAACCTGGCACGTGGAGCAGTGTTCTTCCCTATGTCATGGAGAGATTATTCTGCTTAAAAAATTCTTCCTTCATAGAACACGTTCTGTTATTTTTATTTTTCAACACAATTGTATTTTACACACTCTCAGTTCTTCTCTGTTCTGCATGTTCTCCAAATTAAAAAAAAAAACATGAATTGCAAATTATTCCATCTACTCACCCTCAAGTCTTATTGAGTCCTTGGTACACAGTAGGTTCTGAGATAACATTATCCAAATGACTGAGGAAATCATGGAGGAAGTAGAAGTGAGCTGGGCTTAGTTGGGTAGTGGGATTTAGGTGTGCTGAGGAGGCATTTCAGGAAGGGGCACCATCAGGGTTGTGTTTTCCTCCTCAAAGAATCACAAAGAAGTTTAGTTTATCACTGCAGAGTTACTGGTATTAGCTGTAGGACAATATACTGCCTGGATCTTGCTTATGTTTAGTTGTTTGACTGGTCCAGGAATGAGGTCATGGGATTATGGGCGGAACATGACATCCTCAGCCTCTACTGTTCCCATGTCAATTTTCTGAATTTGAAGTCATTGCCTAAGACCACACCATTGTGAGTGGGTGCCTGACCTCATTGGAAATCATCAAAGGATGTCAGAAATGAGTACAAAGACAGGGGCATTGAGTGTGTCATTTTACGCCTGATCTGGGAGACAGATTGTGTGTTGGAGTCTTGCTGGGCACTGGTGTGGTTTGGCTGATGTCCTTCTTGAATCATAAACTAGACATTGGTGACTTGGCCAGAGGCTCTCCACTGTCTTTATAATTCTGATACCTGTGAATACATGTGACTTGTGTGGTTGTGTTCTTGTTCAGGTGATGGTATGGATCCACGGAGGTGGACTGGTGATAGATGGGGCATCAACCTATGATGGACTGCCTCTCTCTGTCCATGAAAATGTGGTGGTGGTGGTCATTCAGTACCGCCTAGGCATCTGGGGATTCTTCAGGTAAGATTTTGGACATTGTCCTCCGAATGTTAGTTTCTGTATAGGTCTTTTTTTTCTGTTAAAATAACAGAAGGCTTGAGGCTGTGTGATTATATAGAATTCAAACTTACTCAGCTTAGAGTTTGAGCTGCTAAAAGCCCAAGGTTGTATGGATTCATCAGATGAGCCATTGGTGAGAGACTTTACCTGAACATTGTGCTGAAACAGAAAAGGGATCTGACCATGCGGAGGCAGATCAGGTGCCAGTGATGGGGGTGGGGGTGGGGACAGTCTCCCTCTTAAAAACTCAGGGTAATTCCTTCCCAGGATTCATCCCCAGTGTCCTAATAATCTCTCACCAAGTCTCACAGTTTCCAGGTCTTATCACTGCCAAATAATGCCACAACAGAACCCAAGACTCTGCAACTGAACTCTTGGTGGGAAAACCATATATGAACCCTAGCAATCAGTGCTGCCCTAGTCAAAGCCCCATGTGTCTAACAAGGTTATTGTTAAAACCAGTTATTATTGTAAGTCTGTTATTTTACTTCTATAGCTATTCCGCACAGATTGCTCTGTACTCGGTGAGACATATAAATCCTGTCAGTCCTCTGTACAATGCTTCCATGCTATTTACAATGATAGAAGTCCTTGCCAAGACCCACAGTACCTGCTCCACCTGTGTCTCATGGTAGCTACACTCATACTTCTGTTTCTATGGCCACGGGGCCTTTGTACATATTGCTTCTCCCAACAGCAACTCGTTCTTTGGATGCTTCCAAGACCCACGTCCTAGTTTGCTTTCTGCTGATATGATGAAATACTGACCACAAGCAACTTGGGGGAAGAAAGTTTATTTGGCTTATACTTTGAGGCCACAGTCCATCGTTGAGGGAAGTCAGGGAAGGAGCTCAAGCAAGAGCTGAAGAAGAGATCATGGAGAACTCTGTTTACTGGCTTTTCCCCTGGATTATACTGGGCTAACTTTCTTATACAGCCCAGATCATCTGACTAGGGATGTTGCCATCCACAGTGAGCTGGGTCCTTCTTCACCAATCATCAATCAAGACAATCTTTTACAGACATGGCCAAAGGCCAGTAAAACAACTCAAGTTTTGTCAAGTTGGTAATAAAAACCAATCAGTACAACCCACATGCCCGTTTTATGCAGATCTCCAACAAATGGCGCTGCCTTAATGATATCTCCCTTTGTTATGCAGTCTCAAATACCACCTTATAGTTCCACTTCTACTCCTTTTTTACTCAATTTTCTTTTTCTAGTAGCTGATATTATACAGCCATTTCATCTGCTTGTTTGTGAACTGCAGTAGGATCTAGGTATACTCAAATCAAAGATTTCATCTATTTTGCTCTTAGATGAGCTCTAAATTTTGTTTCAAGACAGAGCCTCCTGGTAACCCTAATTGGCCTGGAACTCACTATGTAGATACCAGGATCTTGCCTCTGCCTCCCGAGTACTGAGACTAAAGGCATGTGCCACCACACCTGGCTGAGGTCAAACTTTTAGATCCCAGTTGGATGCTTAGTAGATCTTGGTACATAGTTTCTAGAAGATAGATGTAGAGGCCAGCACAGAACATTGCCATAGGGATGAGTAAAGACAGGTCAGAGATGCAGAACCCAGAGTTATTTCAGAAGGCTAACTGAGCGCCTCAGTATTTTTCTGGCCTTGAAAAGACAGTCACAATAACTCTGCCCCCATCTGCTGTTGTCTTACAGCACAGGAGATGAACACAGTAGGGGGAACTGGGGTCACTTGGACCAGATTGCTGCACTGCTCTGGGTCCAAGACAACATTGCAAACTTTGGAGGGGACCCAGGATCTGTGACCATCTTTGGAGAGTCAGCAGGAGGTGCAAGTGTCTCTGTTCTTGTAAGTAATCTTGGCATTAAACCCCTTGTCTATGCCTGATGTGGCTACTGATGGGAGCTCTTGGAGACCAGGAAACCCAGCCATAGGCACCTATGCTTTCGAGGCCTGAATTCAGGTCAGCTGTACTCATTGTTCAATGTCAGATGGTAGAGGGCTAAGGAACAAACTTTGCTTGGCTCTTAGGAAATGCAGAACTTTTCCAATGTATCTTGGGCAATAACAAACATCAACTGTAGACTGCATCATGTCAGTCTTCCTCTTCTTAGTTATATGAATTATCTTTTTCATTGATAATCAGATGAACATTAGAATTGATTTCTCTTGAGAACTAGTTTTGGGTATAAACTCCAAATAGGAAACTTGGAAGAGCAAGAGTTGGATTCTGTGTAATTGTTTGGTTCCTGACTAGATCTACCCATTGAGGGGATTAAACACTCAGAATAGGCAGGGTTGTCCACAGAGGAAGACCGATGGCTTTTCCATGCCCAAGAGAGAAGGCTACAGTCTCTGGGACTGAGTGACAAGGTGGGCTGAAGGGCACATATGTGAGAAACCAAGATGGAAACTGGAATGAAGAGCAATATAACAGGGGATGTGGATCACAGGTGCACTGTGGGATAGGAAATGCCTTTGTGGTATGGAGAATATGACAGGAGGACACTGAGGGAAGCCATGGAGGACAGTGGTGGCTGTTGGAACCTCTCCAGCTTCTTCAGAGTTGAGCAGAGGATTAGCCCCATCACTGCATTGTTCAAACATGCATTGATTTAAATACTTTGATTTCAAAGGAAATGTTCATATTTTTTAAAAGTAGAGATAAAGCATCACATGTTTTCTTTCATGTATGGATATTACTTTTGAATCTTCAGATATATGTGTTTCATTTGGAATATTCATAGAGTTCAGGAAACTAGAAAGGGGCCATGGGGAAGGGAAGTCTAAGAGGAGTGAGATAGAATACAGTGATACGAAGGATAAAAGGGGAGTAATAGAGTAGGAAGAATTAAATGGTGTGGGGGATAGGTGAGCAGTGTAGGAGGAATATGGGGTCCCATAGTTCCCCAAGCATTATGGGTTATTATCATTATCCTTGATCACTCTCCAGAACTTGAATGTAAGACCCTATTGCTGAAGACAACACATACATGAGTCATAAGATGTGGAGAAACCAAGCAGGTGCTAACCTGGAAGTTTCATCCTTATTAGTTAGCTTTCATAGTGCTAGAAGGTGCTGTGTACTATGTGAATTACAGTAATGACCTGCCTGTCAAGAGATGCCCCCTAGTGCAATAGTGGCACAAATGTTATGGGAGTAACCAACCTCCTTCTAGTTGGATTTATGACCCACTCCATGAGATGGAATCCATACCTGGCACCATTATTGGGACCAAGGACCTGTAGGGCATAGGTCCTAAGGAAGAATCTAATATTAATAATATACTAACTGGACATAGTATTAAAACAACTTATAATTACTTATTGCTATACCTCTAGATTAGTTCATATCTTAACTATCATCAGAGAAACTGCTTCTGTCAGTAAAGGGCAATTAGCATAGACACTCACAATTGGTCAAATTGTGGAGAATGAGAGACTTTAGAGTTCTCAGCATAAATGTGGCATCTGTATTGCATTGTTACTCCCATGACTCAGGGTTATTCTTGGAAGAGGGGTCAGAAAGACTGTAGGAGCAAGAGGTGGTAGATGATTTCGAGAAAACAGTATTTTCCAAATATCAGGGCAGTTACACATATGAACTTGCAACAATTATGATAGCATGCTCAACATGCTCAACAGCTAAGACATGCTCAAGGTCAGCGTCTCAGCATGGTGGGATTGATGGGTACTAGATCCCTTCCCTGGCTGAAGAACTATAGACATTTAATGGTTGCTGGGAGAGGAAGAGTTAATTTTCTTTGGGAGTGTTACCCTGGTGGGTTGCCTATGCTCTAGGGTAGATTCCACACTCAGGAGTGATTGGGCAACACAAATTTCACTTGATGGGAAAACAACAACAACAAATACAATTTGGGGTGTGTAAGGAGGTAGAGGTAAACTTTAAAGGAGTCAAGGAAGGGGAGAATATGATCAAAATTCATTGTATTAAATTCTGAAAAATCATAAAAGTAGTTTAAAAGTAGTGTTTTGCAGACACCTGGGAAGTTATTCATATGAACTCATAGAAAAGGTGACAGCATGCACAAGTACCATGTAAGCTCAAGCCAGAAAAAAAAATCACATCATAGACATGGGAAGTGGGTAAGAAACCCCTGTCCTACCTGAGGAAATATTGGAAAGTGATGGCTTCTAGGAAGGGGAGAGTCAGTCTCATTTAAGGGTCTAACTCTTGGTAGGTTAACTAGGCTCCAGTGGATGGATCCATACAGAAGAGCAGTTGGGGACACAATTTTGACTCTATACAATTATATATATATATATATATATATACACACACACACAAAAATCAAGGGGCTGAGGACATGGCTCAGCAGTTCAGAGAACTGATTGCACTTACAGAGGACATGGGTTCAATTCCCCACACAGTGAAATTGGGTGGGTTAGTAAGGGGGGTGCAGATCCCAGAGAGATTCAAAATTCAATCAAAATATATCATATGAAAATTCAATAAAAGTAAAAATTCAGAGATAAAGGAAAAATATAAATGAACCCCAAGAAACTAGGTATGATGGTACATACCTATAGTCCTAGCACTTGGGATGCTGCAGTTTGAAGGTCACATGATCAAGGCCAACCTGGGCTACAGAATTAATTCTAGCCCATTTTGGGCTATACAGCAAGACATTGCCTAAGAAAATTCCAAAATATAAGATAAAATAAATCCAAGGTAGAAAAAAAAAGTCACCTGCTATCTAATGATAATCACTGTGGTCATTCTGACATGTTTGACTCTGGTCTTTCCCACAGATTTATTTATATGTTGTCTATCTCTATAACCGTCACCTCTTCTTCTATCCATCTATTCAAAATTTCTCTCTATTTTATATTTAAATTATGTCTTATTTTATTTCAAAGTTTAAAAATCTGTCATTAAAACACTGCAAAAATATTTCCTTAATTAGCAACCAGTCTTCAGTAATATCATTTTAAATAATTGTATAGTATTCCATGGTAAGAAAGAACCATTGTTTATACACTCAATCTCATTGGGACCTTGGACTATACAATTTTTAACATTAGGAACATTAGGAACACACATCATTTTTAAAAAACGAATATGAGTGTGTTGCCTACATTTAAGTAGGTCCATGTGTCTTGCAAGGCCTGTTGAAATCAGAAGATGGTGGTGATGGACCCCGTGAAACTGAAGTTATGGATGATTGTTAGTTGCCATGTGGGTGCTGGAAACCGAACCTGGGTCCTCTGCAAGAGCAGCCAGTGCTATTAAACACTGAGCCATCTTTACAGCCTCAGGAACACATCATACTTATGAGCCTCAAGTATCACTTTCCTTCAGATAAATTCTGAAACAAAATTTCTCTTTAAGAATTGCCAAACTGTCTTTCAATCAAACTGTCTTGCTTATTGTCATAAGCACTTGCCATAAACTTTCTGTTTTCTTTTGAGCTCTATCTTCATCTTGCTAAGGGTCTTTTGGAGGTGGTTCCAGGGAGAGCCTTAGAGACATACTGGTGAGGACTTCTTCTGTCTATAGAGCACCAGAGTCTCCAGGTGCATGACCAGGAGAGAGTAGCAGGTGGAGGGAACACTAAAGGATAAGTGAGTCACTGACCTCTCCAATGAGCACAAACGCTCTTCTCTCCTCTCCCCTGCCAGGTATTGTCTCCTCTGGCCAAGAACCTCTTCCACAGAGCCATTTCTCAGAGCAGTGTCGTTCTTAATCCTTGTCTGTTTGGGAGAGATGTCAGGCCCATGGCTAAGGTAGGTGTTATGCTGGACAGCTCCTGTACCCTATCCTCTACTCTCCTGGGATCTTTAAGAATCTTTTTTGCTCTAATATTCAGTTGAGGTGTTCAAGACTTGTTTGGAACAAGAATGAGCAAACAGGAAGGGTTGTTTTAAATTCCAAATCTAATCCACATTATGCAAGTTCTGAAGGATCTTCATGTCAATCACATTATTCAGGCCACTTCCTGTGCATACCACATCTAATCATCGCCTTCATCTATGGGTGGGTAAAGTGAGACACAAAGAGATTGCATGGCTTGTCTACAGATGACATCTGAGTGGTGGAATGGGATCTGAAACCAGATTGTGAAATTCTTGATTTCAAAACTTTCATCCCCATTGCAGTCTCTTTAGAGGTACTTTATTTGAGAATATCCTTCCTCTTCTTTGTGGTTCTAGAAATGAAAATGTGCTCGTTTTATCAGTAGTAATGTAATATAGACATACATATTATTGAATCAGATTATGTCAGTGTTCCAATAATTTACGGAGGTTATTACTTTGTAGGATTCAGTGTCCATATTTGGTGGTCTATCGTGCTTTGAGCAATCCCCTGCTGCCTTGAGAAATTAGGAATGGGACAGAACCCACTACCTACGTGGAGTTGAGGAATGGGACATTGCTTTTGATCTCTGTTGTTTCTTGTGATCTCTTCCAGAAAATTGCTACTCTTGCTGGGTGTAAAACCACCACGTCAGCTGCCATGGTCCACTGCCTGCGCCAGAAGACAGAGGATGAACTTATGGCGACCTCATTGAAAATGGTAGGTGTGCCCATTCTAGTGGCCCCCGTCCTATGTACTTGACCTGAGTCTTCATTGGTTCTTTTGTCCTCTGTCCCCAAACCACTTGGAAGAGTTTCCCACCTCTCAGAACAGTGTCAATCTCCTGATCTAAATTGATACTTGTCACTGCTTTCTTGTTATGAAACACCTCAGATGTAAAAATGTTTAATAAGAACACAAGGATAAATTGCATGACCCCCAGCTTTATGAAAACTTAATTATCTTGGCATTCTTATTTTCAGGTGTATTTTAAGACAAAATATTCCATATCCCACATATAACCACCAAACTGAATTTTGGGAATGAAGACATGTAACACAAGGGCTTTTAAGGAAAAATGTCACAATTTATATTGGTTGATGTGGAGATTAACTTTAGAACTGCAGTATCATGGTTCTGCAGATTTTTCTAAGACAATGTCCCAATTAGGGTTCTAGGATGGCCATTTATGTCCCCAGTCACCTCTCCCTTGCCCATTTGCCCTTAAAACCAATTATATCCATTATATTCTCATCAGTCTAGCAGATACATCTAATGTTTAGTTCTTCTATTTTCAACTTACCCACCCTCCATGAATCATTCAGTTAACCCACCTACATCCCTCCACACAGACCTCCCAAGCAATACTCTGTCATTCACCTACCTGTTTGTTTTCATCTGTTTATCAATGAATCCCTCCAGTTCAGCAGTAATATTTTTATTGACCAGTCCCCTTTATCCATCCATTCATCCATCCATCCATCCACCCATCCATCCACCTATTTCTCTGTCAATTCATCCACCCTTTCATCCAACCATAAGTGTAAGGAAGGGAGGTTAAAAAGGAACCCAATGTTTAATTTGTAATAAAGTCATGGATTTGGATAAGTATAGTGATTGCATTGCTACACTTCAGCTACTGTCTCACTTTTATGTGGGAAACAAGTAGGATACCTCTGTTGTACATTACAATCCCACCAAGGAAGAGTGTACTGTGTGTTGATGCACATCCACAGGCATACATGCGTGTATGTGTGTGTGTGTGTGTGTGTGTGTGTGTGTGTGTGTGTGTGTGTGTTTGGAGGTCAATGGATAATTCTGGAAGCACTTCCAGAAAATCTTAGAAAACTTCAAGTCACCAACTATTCCTTTTTAAGCTAGATCCTCCTGTGCAAATAGCTGAAATAGTTGCCTTATTCTGGGTATTATAAAATAGCTATTTCTTAATTCTTTGAGCATCTTAGTCACCTTGTCTGAGCCTGATAATGAAAGCCGTAAGCCCACATTAGATCAGTCAATGGACACATAGAAGCAACACAGTGTCATAGGGCTTCCATGGAGTCCAGATGTATCCTAGAGTATTAGTGAACCAGTTGGAGATGACAAGAATTTAGTAATGCCTAATCTGACACCCACACCTTCTTCACAAAGCAAAAGTCCCTCTTGGCCCAACTGTTCTTTTCTTTCCATATTTGTTATGTTTTACTGATCCATGATGGGAGACTTCCATGAGCATTCACCAGTCCTCAAATGTCACTTCCCTGAGAGGCAAATCTGTTGAAAATATTTACTGTGTATTCACTCTGAACTGTGACCACACTAAATTCAATAAGTACATGGCTGTGCTTCTCCATGAAATAATGTTTAATCCAGTCAAGGCACCTGGTGGTTGTACCAGGGCCTGATCAACCAGTGCAGTGATAAGATATGGTTGGAATCTAGAATCTTCTTTAACTGCTCCCCATATTCAGGGACATGATTCAACAGCTCATATGTAGTTTTCTGAATTCATGAGGCAGATATGAAGGAAAAGGAAATGTGGTGTTGGGTATAGTGGAAAGTGCTTTCCCGCAGGCCCATCCAGCTGTAGCCTTATCTCCCCACCAGGCCTCTGTGTGTCCCTCTCCACCTTAACCTAATCCTACTACTGTCTGGAGGAGAAACTGGGGTATTGTTGCGAGCGAGAACAGATGAGAAGAGATGAAGAGGAGCACAGGCACATGCAGCAGACGTCCTCTTCATTGTTCTAGTGGCTCTGAGCAGGTTCCAGGCCTGTCCTTTTTCTGCTGCTACCCACCTCTCCCATGCCCCTCCTCCCTGTACCTATGCCCAGAAAACTCGATTCAGGCTTCATTTCTGTCGCTGTGTTTATTTCAGTTCACAAATCCAGGTTCCAGTCCATCATGGTGGGGAAGTGATAGCAGAGGGGCTTGAAGCAGATACTGACATCACATCCACAGCTGGGAGTAGAGAGAAATGAGTGCACACATGCTCCCTTGCTTGCCTGTGCTCAGCTCAGTTTTCCTGCTCTCACACAGTTCAAGACCACCTGCCTAAGGAATGATCCCCCCACAGCGGGTTGGATCTTCCCACATCAATTGACTTGAGACAATTTCCCACAGACATGCCCACAAGATAACTCCATGTAGACTATATTTCATTGAAACTCTCTTCCCAGGTGATTATGTTTCACATTGACAGGTAAAGCTAACCATCACAGACCTGCTATAGAGGCCTCTTACTTTGGGCCTAGCTAAGAAAGAATCAGGACAGAGAACCTTATATCTCTGAGGACAAGCTAACACGTTCAGTTTTCCAACAGAGAAGTTTTCTTACTCACTTTTTCTGCCTTTGTCTCCACAGAAATTTGCAGCTGTTGATTTTCTTGGAGACCCCAGAGAGGTAAGAACCTTTGCTTTCTGAATTAGGATGTTGAGTCTTACCCTTTAAGCTCTAAGGAAGACTTATAATATGTAGAATAGCATGATGTGTGTGTGTGTCTTTGTGTGTGTGTGTGTGTGTGTGTGTATGTGTGTGTGTGTGTGTATATATACTATTAATGCCCAGAGAAGGGATGTCATTTGCCAGGGTATCAAACCTAGGAAGACCAGAGCCAGGATGACCTGACTCCAAAATTCAGCGCTCCCAATAAGCAACTCTGTGTCCCCTGGAGCCAATTATCCCCTTATAATGGACATTTCTTGTGCCCACAATGACCTTGTGAGAGAAGGATGTACTTGAATCTTCCATGCTCAGGAGACCGAGATGACTGAGGTACCCTGGAGCCAAGGAGTATAGGCCTCCAGGGAGAATATACAGCTAATATACCACAATGAAGGATCATGGGAGCTCTGAACTTGAGGACACCACCCTCCTCCCAGTTCCCAGGAAATTCCAACAGTGCCCCCTCCACCTCCCTTCTGCACCAATCCCTCTCAGCAGTAGCCAGGCTCTGGTGGCATTAGCTCTTCAGCATCTATAGACTGTACTCTCTGCTCCCTACCTGGGAATCACAGTACTTCCCTGAAAAATCCTATGAGAATGAATTGAGAGTTTTTCTGAGAATCAGAAAGTTTAAGGAAGTACTTACTCTGTGACAGAATGGGAGTTAGGAGCTTGGACACGGCAGTGAAAAAGACAAGATCCACTTTCTGTATTGGGTTATTACAGCAGGAAATCAAACTAAACTGCATGGTGTATCTCATCATGGTTTGTCAAGATAAGAGTGGCACCTGGAGAAGAGAGAGTTGTCTAGTGATTTGATATGAAGAGCAGAGTCACCTGGAACAGTTGGCATCTTAGTCGAGGTTTGGAGGAGGGAGGGAGGCCAGATATTTGGAAACCTGGGGGAAGAAGTGCTTTAGGCAGAGAGAAGAACCTCTGCGAAGTCCTGCTGCAGGAGGCCAGTGTGTTGGAGTGGAGGCAGTTAGGGAGGAGTAGGCTTGAGGCTTGGGAGGTAGAAGATAGAGGAAGTGGGGTTGGTCCTTGATAGGCTTGTTCGTTGCATCTTGGGCAGCTTGCATAGCTGTTTTTTATAAAGGCTTCTCTGATTACAGTTGGGATCAGCTTTTGTCTATGGTTATATATATTCACATTTAGAAGGCAGTTATTCCATTGTCACTTTGGCAACTTCCCAATTCCTGGGTTGTTAGTCAGGTTTACAGTACCAGGCGTGACTCAAACAAAATTTTTGTTGATTTTCTCCCAGCTACCCGCTCCCCCATTAACCTGAACCCTCTTTGTATGTACCTATCTCACTGCAACCTCCTTTCTGTTTTTGTGTCATCTACCATTCTTCAACACCTCTCTCCCCTGTCTCACAGTCTCCACTCCAGTTTCATAGCTACTATCCGCACTCCCCCGCACATACATGAAAACAAATGCTAAGACCTGCAGATGACAGAGAACAAGAGATTTTTATCTTCCTGGGTCTGTGTTATTATGGGAAATAGAGTAACTTACAAAGGCAAATACCCAGTGCGCCACAAAAGATGAACATCCGGTGCCCCGTCCCACTCTGTAAATCAGTAAATGCCCCCTCTTGCGTCCATATGGGTGAGATACCGGGGCCATTTTTTCTGCACTGCTGCTGCCAAGATGGCGCCAACACTCCTCCCTCCACGGCTAATTCTCCGAAGCTCCCTCTCCTTTGCTAACTCTCTGCAGCCAATTCTCTGCACCAGGCTCTGCCCCTTGGAGGAACAAGTACTCCTTGGGACACATTCCACCCCTGCCTCCGTCTCTTACAATCTTTCTGCCAATCTTCTACTAAGGTCCCTGAGCCTTGGAGGGGGTGATAGATGTAGGGAAATCTCTCTTGTATCATGGTGAGATAGTGGCTTCTTGGGCCTCCCCATTATTCATCTTTAAGCCGTAGCCATTGATCTATCTCGGTGGTGTTTCTTCTACTATAAAGACAAATGGAAGGAAGTAGACACATCTAAAAAAACATGAATGTAAACACAAATGGTTATAAGATATCCCAGTAGGTGTACTATATTCATTAAACAGTATACTTGTAATGGCTTCTGCTCTAGGGCCTGTAGCCTTTCTTGACACAGGGGTAGGCCTGGTCCACAGCACCAGATGTGTGGTCCACCCCTAGGAATGGGCCTTATCCAAGTAGAAATTTGTCAGTTGTATGTATGTTAGTTGAGCCATTATTGCACTTGCAGACATTGCTTGGCATGTCCATAGTGTGCAGCATGCAGGGTCCATTGTTGAGTAGAATCATAGGGAATCCTTTCATCCCCAACCATCTGCATAGTGCCTTCTGGTACTATGAATGTCACCCATCCAGTGGCATGGAGTTTTTGGCTTAGTCTTCATTATTTTCTTAATGTAATGCACTCCAATTAATCCATTTTCCTGAAAATGTAACCTAACTTAATTTTCTGCTGCATAAAATTCTATTGTGATATATATATATCACATTTTTATTATCCACTCATCTACTGATGAACATCTAGATATTTTGCTGTTTTAAGTGATTTTTCTGTTTAAGATGATCTCAGGCATAATGATAAATAGTTGTTCAGTGCCCTAGGAGGCTGTGAGGAGCCTGATGAAGAAGGTACATGGCACAGATGAGCATCCTTCAGACTTCAGTTATAACTTCCTTGATTATGAAGTCAGTGTTGATGAGTTAACAATATGATATGTTTAAAAGACAGAGAGGAGAATCGCCTATTTGTGGCCAAGGCCATTCTGTAGAGTGGTCATATGGTACCTATAGCATGTGACTAAGATGGGAAGGATGAGAGTGCAGCTAAATTGTTGGATTCATGAAATAACAAAGTTTTAAAAAACAGAGTGCATAGCATGGTTGTGAATCAGAAGCCAAAGTAATGTACAGTTATTTGTGGTCTGGATATACAAAGTCCCTTCCTGCTGGTGTTTAATTGTAAATAAATTATACATATAAATAATATTTTGCAAGAGAATTGTATCATATATCTTTCAACATGAATGGACACAAAAAAGGTGATTAAAATGTCATTACCAGAGGCTCTCAGGAAAAAATTCTGAAATTACCTTGGTCAGTGGTTTAGTATTTGCTAATTAAGATTTCATTGCAACTTTACAGTCATATTGGCAGATTGGACTATCTGTCATATGGCATATAGTTTACTGTGGGTAAGCCCATGTGACAATTTCCTGCCACCACCACCTTATCACTGCTGGCTTCCCAGTCATAGTTCTGCCCTTGGTAACTCATAGACTTAGCCCCCTTGAGGACCATTATTTATGTGACCATGCCACAGGAATCTATAATTGGCAAAGTTCTCAGAGGGTGGACACTGTTGTTACCTGGAGATATTACATTTCTGTTTTCCTCAGAGCTATCCTTTCCTGCACACTGTGGTTGATGGAGTGGTGCTGCTGAAGACACCAGAAGAGCTTCTGGCTGAGAAAAACATCAACATAGTGCCATATATGGTGGGAATCACCAGGCATGAGTTTGGCTGGCTGATTCCCACGGTGAGAACATATGGACTCTTAATCAGATGTACAGTCTCAACCATCACAATCCCAACTTTACTTCTATGACTTCTTCCCATTCTCAACCTTTTCTGGGTCCAGGGAATTTATGCTCATTTCCATGAATGGATGGTTCTTTGGAAACATTTTCTGGAATGATCCAACTGCCCTCTGGGACTTGCAGCTGAGAACTGCTATCCACAAACACTATCTTTTCTTAAAGAATCATGAAATTCCTGGTTTGAGAGGGCCTGTAGAGATAACAATTGTGCAAAGAGAGCCACCAAAGACATCTGGAAAGGGTAAGAAGCTGGAGTTCAGGAGAGTCAGATCGCGATAGAACAGCTTCCAGAGGCCCCGTGCGTAGACCACCTTCCTCCCCAGGTGCTCTTAGATGACTCATCGCCACAAATCAGAGACAACTGATTGAATGTAAAATTGGCTTCTAAAAGCTAAGGAGGATTTTAATATGCCAATGATATACACAGAAGATACTGATTAAGCCAATAAGGTGCATCTGATTCTGTAGTATAACTTCAGTACAGAAAAGGGAATCATGACCTAAGTTCAGATCTCTGACAGGAATACCTGGGGAGGTTTTGAGGCTTGGGTGAACTCTGAAGGGCACAGTGGTGTGAGCAGTGAGTCCATGTCATGAGGTTACTGAATTTATTTCATGCTTATGTGCAAGAATAACAGATTTCTCTTTCATCATGACCAGAGGCACAGCTGTAAGTTGAAGTAAGGCCCTCATCAAAATTAGGCCTTTATCTTCCACAACAACTAGAAAGGAGATCAAGAGTTGTCTTCCTAAATGTTCACATTTCTAACAGGTTTAAAATGTGACAAGATATGTTTCTCACAAGTCCTTGAGGAAATAATTTTGGTGGGGACTTTGTGTCTCAAAGGGCAGAGGAAGAATTGATAATTGCAAGCTCTTTAAAATAACTGGTCTAGGAGAGGGCTCAGGGCCAGTCTGCCCATCACCAAATTTAGCCTGGAGAAGAGTAATTTCAACTGAATGCATTGTGCTTTCCAAGACAGGCATTGAATAGAGACTGGTATCACAGTAAGGCATAGACTTTAGTTACCAGAAGCTGTGCTGGAGTTGGGTGAAGTCTCTGAGTGCAAAGGTTGGACAGGATCTGGTCACACTGGCAGTTATACAACTCTCCCTGGAGAAGAATTTCAGAGGTCATTAATAAACACAGCCATATGATTGATTTTGGCTTCCTGAGTCACCTGTGGGGTAGGGATTGTGTCATCTCTCCCTGTGTTATTCTACAATATGCTGGCCTAAATGTCACTTCACTATCTGAAGGATTATTGTGTGTATATATTATACATAGTATGCATATACAAGTGGATTTATATTCAGAAACATAGGCCTTATAA